TACAGCTTTAACCTCTCCAGCCCCTTTTGGCCTCTGGTGACCTTTGGTTTTGATGACAGACTGGACTTTTTGTGTAGCAGCAGCTTGACCAGGTGAAGACAAGAAAAGATGACAATAGAAAGAAACATAAAGCCAATGAAGGCTGGGACACAGCCCCACAGGTCATGGGTCAAGATGGACAGTTGAGTGACGAGTGCAGCTGTGGACACGTGGGCCTCTTTATCTGTCCTTTGGATTTGCTTGCCATGTCAGCTGATGTTTCTTTTGTCTTAGACTAAGGACCTCACTAAATCTTCACAATCTGAAGGAAATAAATAAATGCATGCAACAGATGTAGAATGTCACGTTGAGTATACAGCATCCAGTATCTTCAGTAAATCAAATATTATGTACTGGGAAGTGTTAAGAGAGACTGGAATAATAACTTTTGTACTTGTTTTATGTCACCAATTCAAAAATAGTTGCCTGTTTTAGATATGCATGCAGTTCAAATTAAACACTAAAATTCAAATTTTGTCATTGGAAATCATTTGAAGCCATTCTATGACTGTTTTCTTCCACAACTTCAWTGCATGTGTTATAATACAGTACATTCTCATATTCCAGGCTTACAACACATTCCAAAAAAGCTGTATGTGTACAATTATGTAATTAGGTTCAAACTAAATCAATAAACACTTTATGAAATAGGTGATGTCAATAAGTGGTTAATGATCTGGTGCACAAAGCATTATCTAAGAAAAATACTGGGCATTTTATCTTGTAAACAAATATGTAAGAAATGTATAAGCAAGGTTTAAACGTTGTTTTGATGTAGATTAGAAGAAATGCATATTTCTTCCTCCAAATTCAACAACCTTGTAAAACTTTTGTCAATCACTGGAAGATGAAGTGATACTTATAACTGCTCCTTCAAGCTTTATTGTGTTTGATTTTTTTTTTTTTTTTAATTTTTTGTCCAAAGGGTTGTTCAGATTATCTTAGAACCACAATGGATCCACCATCCATGAATAGTACAATACATTGTGGTCAGAAATGATTTGGTTTCCCTAACTCTCCACTATATTACATTATTATCATTACTATTATCATCATTATTATTATCATTATTATTATTATTATTAGTAGTAGTAGTATTAGTATTAGTATTAGTATTAGTATTAGTAGTAGTAGTAGTAGTAGTAGTAGTAGTAGTAGTAGTTTATAATGTGTTACCAGGTCTGATTTTTCATTTAAATCATTGGACACATTTTCAGTTGTCCAACTGCTTCTGATGCCAAAGGTTAATGGCTGTCTTCTCTCTTACCTTTCAAAACTTAGAAATGTGAGGGCAGGGTTGGCCAAGTCAGGCCAAACCATGCTTTAGGTCATAAACACCTCTGCTTGTCTCTCTTTCTTTTTTCTCCCACAGGGGAGAGTTGGGTTTGCACTCTGTTAATCTTTCACTACAGGCCTGCTCACTCTTACACTGGCCCACCGGAGAACAGACGAGGGGAAAGAAAGAGGGGYAGTAAACGACAAGAGTGGATAAAAGAGCAGGAAGAAAAAGCCATCGAGAGGGCCAGATGGGCACCTTCACAGTCCATTTATCAAACCCAATGTGGCCCTCCTCTCCCCTCCCTGCTGCTCTCATGTCCTAAACCCCCATGTAATTCTGTAATGATTTTCATTATCATATAATGACCTTACAAAGCCTACAGCAGTTTGCATGGTCAGTACAAAACCTGCAGCTGTTCCCTTCAATGTTTGCTTGCTGACTGTGACAAAGCTATTTTATTATTTTTTTCTCATGATCTCTTAGAGTATGTCTTCAAGGATCTGATGGGTCAGCATAAAGGTTTCACATCCACAGTGGAGTAAAGGTAGCCACATTGTAAACATGAAGATAAAAGACAACATAAAACAACTATACATCGAATATTGGAAAAAAAACAAAACAAAAGCACAAAAACAACAAAGATGCAGAATTCTGTAGATTGGAGGATTTTCTGTGTATGCTCTACCAGCATGAATCCTTCATTACCTGTAATTGTATAAATGTGAAGCATGATCTATGAATTTTTAAAACCAAAAACATCCCCGGTGCCACTGGGACCTGCCATTTCATATTCTAATAGGCCTGTTCCCTGGAGGTTGTGTCTTGCTCTTCAATCTGCACTTCCTGTGTGGCATACTACGCTGCGTCAATGCGGTATTGTCACCCACCAACATAATAATCCATCTATTTCCAGGGTACTCGAGGGGCATTTACCGAAGGGACACAGAGGGCAGCATCTATCAAAGAATTCACCACGTGCATCGGGAAAATCCAGTTACCAGAAAACCTCATACGAATAAAAAAGCTCTCATAACTTTGTTGGCTCAGAGTGAATGAATGGACTGCTTCTGCTCGCACGGTGAGCAGAGGCATCACTCACTCTGAGTGCCTATAAGTCACTTCTGAAGAACTGCTGGTCACTGGCTCCAATTCCTCTTTCTTTCCTTCTTGCTTGTCCTAAAAATGCCTTAGAGACAGAAAAAAATAATAATAAAAAAACGGGGCAGCCAGCAGGTCCAAGTTTCAGAGCACGGAGTGCTGCTTTAACTGGTGTTTAAGAAACAAAAGTCAGCAAACTCAGTCAGTGCTGGTTGTTTATGTTTATGGGCCTCTAGTAAGAGTCATCCATCAGACTTTTCCCCCTTTTTGGGGGTCTTTTCCCATCTTTTTTGAAATTATTATGTGCTATACTCTATAAAAAAAAACAGGGATACAAAGGACATTGCTACGATAAAAACTTCTCTGTTGAATAATGTTTAAATCTAAATAGGATGCTGAATATGAAAACCTCACAAACTGAGCTATTTTTATATATATTTATTTTTATACATACAAACATTTATTAAACTTTATTAAACTATATACTGTACGTATATACTGTATTAAACTGCTATTTTGTGGAGTGCAAAAAAATAAAAATAAAAAAAAACTTGCACTTTTCCACCAGTATCTAAAAACTACCAAAGCAATCCTTGACCATTGTCAGCAGAAAGCCACTAATCAACACCAGCACACTCCACTTAACATTGCACATATTCATATGCTTAGTTTTGCATAAATGTTATCTCTTGAAAACCACTTGACAGGACGACCTCTGGCTCTTATTTGTGTAAGTGGGGACTGGTAATGATTAGGGATATGCACGAAAAGTGTTTTAAGGAAGGAGAAGTTATCAGGAGCAGTCAGAGTTCAAACATATTGTGCAGGAGGTTTGTCCTCCACCAAAACAGCTAATCTCATCAGTCTTCCACAGCTGATGAAGTAAACGTCTGTCTGTCCTGACGACAAGGACTGAGCATTTCCTGTCCTGGTCTGTGATACTTGTTGTCAGGTTCTTAGGGTGGGCTGAGCAAATCCTAGGGTTAGTAGGTGGTAACACTGCATTGTGGGTGGCGGTGGGCCAGTGCTGATGGTGAGATGGTTTCTAGCTTTCAGCACATGCAGCTGGTATGCGCTATCAGAGCGGGACCCACATGAGAGCTGGGGAGGGTCTGGGCGTCGACACAGCAAAGCAAGGTGTGTAGAAACAGGCTGTTTACAAGGCTCATCTGGATGGGAGTGAGCAAAGGGTCCGCCAGATTGAAAAACTCAAAACAAAGAAGCGACATGAAAAAAAGGAAGGAAATCATCAGGAAATAACCAGTTTCTTGTATGTTGCTTTTGAGATTTCATAGTCAGAAAGTTCATTTTAAAATGTGTTTCTGTGTGCAACACTGGGGTCAAATCTGTTGAAAGAGTCAAAAAGCTGTGAAATTGTTCATGCAATGCTAGTGAAAACATGCATGGCAGTGTTTGTGTGWCATTGCTTGCACCGAGGAAGAGGGTGACTGAGAAAATAAACAGCTAAAAAAATACTATGGGGTATGTCCAAGGCTTTTCTTTATCTGAATAAAGGGCTGATGCTCTAATCACAGAGCTCTCTGTTCTTATCTGGAGGGAAGGAAGTGAGCAGGTTTATCTAAGACACACGTGTTGCTGTGATAGCTACCAGACACACAGAACCACAAAATGCAAACTGGCCATGCATTTTGTATTTGAATTCACACATCTCTTCAATAAGAATCAATCGATCAATTTTGATTATATATTTAAAGTGACAAAACTCTACTACTTTACACTTTTTAGGAAAGGAGTTCATATTAACTCACAAAAGTACCATATGCATGACACTTAGTTTAAAACTTAGATTCAGTGTTGGTATGGAAATCCAAAGAACTCGTATCAGAGTTTGACTGTGTCCCATTTTCTTAACGTCTGAAGATGCTGTATAAAAGTCAACCAAACTTTTGTTCTATTTTTTTAGATAGTGATTTTCATAGAAACTATTCACATTATATGTGATGACTCAATGACAAAGAAATCAAATTTAGGATTGTGTCTTTACTGGACTAAAACTAAAACAAAACTTGTATTCCAAGAGTTCTTGTATTTCCTTGTTCTTATTGTTTTACATTTTAATTTCTCCAGATTATAAAGTATTTTAGTCAACTTTTGTTGTGTTTATGTTCTACGTGAATAAAATGACATGTTAAAAAAAAACATCCTTGTCACAGGAAGACCAGTGTGATTAACAAAATAATGTTGCATATAGAAAAATCCTCAGATGTGCTAGCTTATTAGGCTGAAAACATGATTGTTCATGTGATGTAGATTATTTTAAAATTGGCAATAACGGGCCTAACCGAGATTGCTGGGAAATAAGACTAAAAGCAAAAATTGCTGATTTTTTTATCTTCATAATTATTTAATTAGTTTGAAAGCATAAGTGTACTCAAATGTACTCAAACTCTCAATGAATACCTTTGATCTAGGTGCCAAACAGCAAAGCCACACACATGATAGTCTCTAATGTGTTGAAGAGCATTTACATTTGTGTGGACATTTACTTTGAATGCCAGATAAAGCTCATCCTCCATATTTTTTTACCTGCCTAAACCATCAGTCACAGAGTACATGATGTTACCTGTCCCTCCATGTTTGTCTCTGCTGGTGTCTGTCTGTCAAGGCTGTCAACAGGGTTTCTGCCATCTCCCTCCTTCCCTCTTCGGCTTGGCCCTCCTCCTCCACCGTAGCCAGAAAGAGCATAGTCTGCAAATAGGAACAGAGAAGAGAAATGAATCTTTAGAGTAGGGTTGGATGACAGTATGTTTAAGCTTTATTTTAATTTTTGAGAAAAAAAATAAAAAATAAACAAAATAAATAAATAGTATAAAAAAGGTCCACCTCTTCTTATCATTTGCACTTCCTTTCACAATACAAAAGCCACGTCCCAGACTAAATATAATAAAACTCTTGGCACGCTTTATTTTCATCCTAAACGTTCAAGAGTGTGAAATTAGGTTGAGAGACAATCTGATGCTCTCCCTACAACCCTTGAGCTTCTCTCCTCAGTAAAAAATTACACGGCTCTGAGCCGACTCAATTATAACATCCCCAGGATGGCAGCATACAGTAAGTCTAGTATAAAGTCAGTTTCACATCAGAGGATGGGCAAATTACACCCAATATTAGAGTGTGAGTCAATTAATCACGTCCTGCACCACACAGTGTAATGTGTAAGTATCCCCCTGTTGAACATGAATTACAGGCCAGCTTAAAGTGTGACGTGGCACATCACTGCTAATCAGAGACATCCCAGCAAACCTTAGCCTCCGAGTCCTCCGCAGCCTCTAAGCTGGTTGAGAGGGAGTCAAACGAAAAAGGATCTGGCAGCCCAAATTAAATGCAGCGCTGTCAGCCACACTCAAATCCCTCTTTCCTCTCACCGTCTCCCTCTTCCCCTCTACCCGTCACACACTTCCTCTTTCTGTGAATATTCTTAAATGCCCACCGCCACCCCCCCCCTTGCCGAGCCTCTGAGAAGTGATGGATCTGTAACTGTGACTGACTCTGACGCCTTGTTAAGAACAGTCTCTTCCTGTCACATCCACCACTCAAGCGCGTTCATTTCTTCCCATTAACAGTGACTTGCCTCCCCAGTCATCCAACCTTTTGAAAGAAAAAAGGAGAAAAAAAGAAAACTACAATATAAGAGAACCTTCATTTCTTTCTGCTATCCCCCTTTTTTAATYCCTTTTCTGACAATCCACCTGTCTGTCTTAATTCATGTGACGATAGCTTTGATTGTCTGTGTGTGTGTTTCCAAAGGAGAGCAGTAATATGCTTACTTCCTCTGCACCACACAGGACAGGTGTCAAAATATGTAGCAGTGTGTGACTGATTACACCTGACTCAGAGGAGACACCAAAGATTATGGTGACCAGGATAAGGCAGGGCCGGCTGTACTCCTTCTGGAAACTGTGTCTTTCAGTTTGGATCAAACTGGGTCCTTCTGGGATGAGTGACATGYTAAGAAAGTACCAGAAAGTGGATTCAGACTGTATCACATTTTCAGCTGGTAGACTTCACATTGTGCACGCTGGCTTTGAAGCGCACTATCAGTGTTTTGAGCGCGACACTGAAGAGCTAGTGAGTCACAGTTGATCTGAAACCTGCTCCAGTGTGATTCAAGCTTGCTTCGATCGATCTCAAAGCTGACTAGCAAACAGAACAACAAAGGGAAGCTGTTTATAAAGCCATGGTATCAGAAAAATCCCTAAAAGATGTAGAATCAGATTTAAACAAATGAATTGACAAAGTTTTCTTTTTATGCTTCAAATTGTCAACAACAGATTCTGACATGTTTAGCGCTGGAAAGACTTCTTTTAATTAGGAACATTAAAAACACCTTCTTCTCTGAGGGACTGTATGTACTTCTTTCATGATTGCTCTCCGCAAAGTTTTATCTGATTGGATGTGTTTCTACTAAAGAGGGTGTTGTTTTGTCCAAGGCAACATCTTGCTGAAAACGTGTGGTTGCGGGCCAGAATGTGTGCAACTCGTGTTTAGAAGCGCCAGTGCTGAGAGAAGCCTTCAGGTTTAGCCCCAGGCTGATCCTCGGGCCATTTAGGAACCCTGCTGGTTGTTTACTGGTCAAGCTCGGCCTCGGCCCGACCACAGTCCTTTATCTCTGGGCCTGTGTTAGCACAAATCAGCCCCCTTCTTTACTTCTATTTACCCCTTGATGACAGTAGCTGTCCTCACAGTCCACCTATATCAGCCTGATGCTGACCACAGATGTCCCTCTGACCCAGGCCACATCTTGAGGTGAATCAGAGGACATGACATGCTTTGGTACCTCCATACCCAAGCCCCATACCCCAAATTCAGCACTGTCTTTTTTTTACTACAAGTAAGGTATAAACATTTCCGTCTCTGAGCAGAGGCAGGAAAGGTAAACAAACAGTTAAGCTAAGGTGGTATTTTTGTTTGTAGACAGCTGAAGTGATGATAGTGTTCCAAGCGAAGGCTGGCTGGGGGGCAGCCTGGGGCAGCTCACTAACACCTCAAGCCAGGACTGTATCTTAACACCAACAAGCATCTGTCTATTCTATCACATTTCTATTCAATAACAACATGTCACTCATTCACACAGAATAACACAATGGGAAGGTTGTTGTTGCACACAGTGCAACATGATGTAAAACTTCACAGAATAACCGTCTCTAGTTACATAATAACTGACAAGTTTTAAAGGCAGTAAGGTTAAAAAAATAAATAAAAAATAAATAAAAAAACAAGATACAAGCCAAACTGAAAGTTTACACTCCATTAAATTATGGGACTAAATGACTACCACATCGTCTGAAAACTAGTAACACTAGAGGAAAAGTCAAAGCTGACATTCAATTGGGACTTTCAGGGGACTCAAAGTACTCTTATGCTTAATGGCTCTCAGTTACAAGAACACTTTCTACATCTGCAGGCCACAGATGCTCACGAATCCCAAACTTGACCTCCCTTATTAACTAGTTTTTTAAGACAGGGAGAATTTTAGACCATAATAGACCATCCCAGTGACAGACATTTACCTACAGAAAAATAGGGATGATAAACAGCAAATATACCTAGATTCTGGCTCGTGATTGGGGTAGTTTACCAAAGTCATGTCTACCCTCTAAAGAGCATCTTTRCCTGTCAAACTAACAATCTTCATGCCTGTCTCTTTGACACTTTAGTGTCCAACAGTATAACAAGTCTGCACATTTTCTTGTCCTTATGTTCACTGATGTGTCTCTGTGCTGATATGGAGGTGGACATGGCCCTAACCAATGATCCATTATTTTGTTTAAGCCTGCTATGCAATAACAGATAACTCTGAATTACAGTGACAACCTGAAACATCTATAACAGCAATTATCCAAGTATCACGTCAACTGTAKTATCTCTGTTTGAATGACCAATGGAATGAATAAGAAGCATTACTGTTGGTAATTATGTGATAATTGTTCAGCACCTATGGTCAACAGGTCAATGACTTACAGTTCGGTTAGTACACTAAATCATATCACTACTTAAAATATTTGGAGGATAAGTGTAGGGCATGTACTTTTCCAAATTAACATCCACCTTGTCAATTCTGCCATGAACTAACTAACATTCTTCCATTCCTGCTGACCGTCTTGCTGACCCACAAAGTCATAGCAATAAACTTTTGCCATTGTTTTAGCTCAGCTGCCTTGACATCTGATTTCATTGGCCTTGGGAGTGGGAGTTTGGCAGACTCGCAGCTGCCTGTGTCTTCTTCTACCCTTTAATACGAGAAACCAATATCACTTTGACCGCAGGTGGAAAAAGGCATCAGGCACCTTGCTCTGGGTAATGGATAGCCTCTGCTCACTGATATAAACAACAGGGGAGTTGTGATCCTGTCAAGGCCATTTCCAGTTCGAACAAGGGATCTGTGTGTGTTTGCTGTTTGCCACCATAGAGGTACTTTGCTCTTGAGGAGGGGGAACTCTCTACTGGTAGAAAAAATGTAATATCCTTGAAGACAAAAAACTATATGTGCACTTTCTGTGACATCACACTCAAAGGAGTAAAAAGTGTGTTTGTATTTATTTATTGATTGATTTACTTACTTACTTAATTACTTGCTTATTTATTTACTTACTTATTTATTTTCTGCTGCAGGTCTGATGTCACATGATTACAGATTAATTGAAATTTGGGCACATCTGAAATAAAATGTCATGGACTTGCAACCTGTCCGGGGGGTACCCCGCCCCTCGCACAGTGACTGCTGGTTATGGGCACCAACGACCCCTGTGACCCTGAAAGGAAGAAGCGGGTATAGATAATGGATGGATGGATGAAATAAAAAGTACTTATTTCCCAATGTAAAAGATTGGTTGAATATGAGTGTGTGTGCGGGCAGGCATGTTTTGTGTGTATAATTAAGTAATAAAAAGTATCAGCGCTGTTGGCAAAAGCCATCTTCCAGACTAAGAAGCTGCACTAGATGGGGGTGGGGGTCAAAAAATTTGGGAAGCAAGTTCTAAAAAAAAGACAATTGTATAAAATTATACAAGTAATGACTTGTGTGTTTGAGTGTGTACTTGTGTGTATCTTTTTACAGTTAAATTTTAAAAAGGATTAACTTAAATTGACTTTTAAGAAAATATCGTCTGAAAAGCCTCTTTTATTTACTCCCCAAAATTCTTTCAGAAATCTTATTGTAATAAAGAAGTTGACAAACAATTTCCTAAAGAATTTCATTTTCTCAACCAATCATAAGTACTGAAACAGCCATTTATTTTCTTTTATTTAATAAAAAATAATTTTCCCATTTTTGAAAAAGATATGTGCACATTTGTGTGTGTTAAGGTGAGTGTGGGTGCGTTGCTTGTGTTCTTTCAATCTCCATGGTGAACGAAACCRAAGCCTTTCTGCTGGGTTGACCTTTGCAAGGTCTCAGCCACCATCAATAATGTCAGCCAGTAAAATAGGCTTTGCTACTCACAGCAGATTATATGGAGTGTAAAACATTAGAAAAATGTGTCTAAAACATCAGAGTAACTTGTTTGAAGTGACAAAAGGTTCGGGAGAAATAGAGTCCGTCCCTAAAAGGAAAGACCCCTGTCAAGTGATTTTGTTTGAAGGCTTTGTAACACACTCAAGTGGGCAGGGATGCTTTCTTTGACCCTTGCAGCAGTCCATCTTCTGGACAGAATACGAGCAGGACGGACGGACATATGCTTTGCACAGGG